CTCCGAAGGATTTCGACGCACGATTATAGCCTCTTAATGTGCAGTCGCTAATGTGTGTATCTTCTTAATAGTTTCTTATTACAGTCTTAAGAACGTGTAAGGTATACAGCCATGGATGTGATCGTGGATATATCGTATAAATGTATACCGTATACAGTCGCTTCTGTAATAACTTTGAAACCGAATAAAAATTAGTTTTATTGTTATAGTAGCTCCGTCAATTATTATCGGCGAGTGAAGTAAACGACGAAAATATGTCAAAATTTAAAATTTATATATTAAAGACATCGCGCCATTCTTCCTACAATTTAGACATTCGAACGTTTAGATCGACGCGACGTGCACAAATATTTCACTTGGGTTGATCTCACTAATGCGCATTCCATTTCTGACTCGGTCAACGCGAGCGGTTGATCGATGTCGGTCTCGTGTCTTATGAATGAACGGCAAGAGGTGGTGTCGGATTGCGGGTAGCCGTACCTACATCGAAGAGTGTTCCTGTTCCGGCGACGGTGGACGTGTATTTACTGCCCACGTTCAGTCACTTAATTATAAAATAATTGTTATTTATCTTCGACATTAGCCGGATATCGGATGGCTTATCCGCCATCAGAACGGCTCGCCTCATTCGCCGGTCGCCGACTTGTCGGACAGGCGTACGGGTATAGGTGCGAAGAGGCGAAGGACGAAGGAACGTCCAAGGAGCGCGAGTAAGAGGCCAGGTCTTCTTGGCCAAGCTCGAGCGCGTCCCAGAGAGGACGTGTCGATTTATCTAGGCACTCGATCGAGACGAATTAACGGCTCGGGAGCCGGTAACTTAAGCCGGTGCGTTTGTCGCCAAGACCTCCTCGAATCCTGGCAGCCGAAAGGGATGAGTAGACCGTCGTTATACCAGAGCTCTACCAATTGCGGCTTTCTCCAGGCCGAAGGTACGAGCGACAGGCGGGATCGCGATTATTCAACAACGGCGTGAGAATCGTCGTCGCCATTGGAGCCTAGCGTCGAAACTGCACGAGGCAAATGCGAAGAAGCGTGAAAATAAATTTCTAGTTGTCATTAAAAAAATTGTCAAAATGTATAAAAACGAAATATGAACGAAAAAGACGGAATACAAAAGAAAAGATTTATCTCGTAAGATTTATACAAAAATGATATTTATCTACATATATTACTTAAACAATGATTAATAATTATAAAAAATATATCTTACGCTGCAAGTTTATAAATCGAAGATTCGCAAAAAATACTTAAAATTTACAAAGTCCTACTTTATAAAGTTTATTTTATGGAATGTATAGAATGAAATTCCAAAAGCATTTTAATATCTTAATAGATCCCCGAAAAAATGTCGGCTATTCTGCTTTGTGAAAACCTCCCTGCGTCAAACAATCGGCAGAGCGTATCATTCTCCACATAGATTCTCCGATATACACGTTCCTCCGAGGTCTGGCGACCGGCCGCAAATCACGCCGCCACGATCGCAAGTAAACTGAGTTACGAGCATCTCGGTTTCCATCGTCTCGCTCCTCTCTTTGTCATCGTGCTGAAATGGTGCAGCCGCGCGGTTGCCGACGAAGGGGATCAACGGCGGATCTAAACGACGATCAGGCACGCGCGTTCCACCATGCCGACGTTTCGATATGTCCGGACGAGATCGGAGCAGCTCGTCGTGCGTGGTAAGAAACGACGGCGCGAGTGTCGGAGAAGCGAGGAGCAGAAGAAGGAGGAACACAGGAGGATACACAGAAGCAGAAACGGACGAGGAGAAGACGAAGAAGAAGGGGAGGTGAGAGACGGGAGTGACAGCGGGGCGGGTCGTGCAGGAAGAAGAAAGTATCGTGCGATGGAAGACGCTCTGAACGAGATCTCGAAGTATCCGCCAGGCTAATTAATCCCAGAGCCGTCTGGCGCAAATGACAGGAACGATCGGATCAGGGGGTAATATATTACCGCTCGTTTCAGCAACCGTTGCTCCGCGAGTCTAGGATGGAATCGTCGTGCTTGTAACGCGATCTTCAGAGAAAAAGTGAAGGAGGCACGGCGTGAACGGGGGCGGACGGGGGAGGGAGAATGAGGGCCCCCGGTTGAAGGGTGGAAGGTTTCATTACGACGTGTGGGAACCTTAAGGCCGAACACAACGGGTAAGCAATGATAATTTATGACCGCCTACGACCCCGGGCGCGATCGATCACGTAATGCTGCGGTTACTTTATGTCGAAAGGACGTCGATTTAGAGAAGAGTGAAATGGAAAGAGCGTCGGCAGATGAAACTAGGAAACATGTCGAAGAAAATTAAAAAGACGTATCAGACTCTAAAAACACATTGCGAACGTCTCACGTATATGAATCGTGTAACTCGAAGGTCGGAATAATAGCAAATTCTTCGGACAGTGTAGCTACTGCGTACAACACAATAATATTATATTCTGAATATCAAAGGATCTGAATATTACGATATTGCCTCGCATTATCAGTCCTCTTATCTCTTCCCCGATGGTGCTCGATTCGATCGACTCCGAGCACTATATCATCGCACAAAGCGCGCTTCGTATTGCCGTCGATATTTATCGCCTCATCGTGTTCTCCGGCAGCAAATTACTACGATCGACTCGTAATACGGAAACTTTCCAGGGGTGCTTTAAACGAGAGCACGGAGGATATACATTAAGTCGATCGTATACGCAGAATCGCGGTTGTAAATAACGCGGCCATCTGATTTTTCGCCTCGCGACGCCGCGGGTGAATCCGAAATTCGGCGGCACGCGAAGACCTCGTAAATAAGAGCGGTTCTCGGGCGGCGAAAAGAGGAACAGGTTTACGAGGCAGGATGCACTACCGCGGCGGCCTTCTCTCGTCTCTCTTTCTCTCTCTTTCTCATTCCTCATCTCTCTTTCACCTTCCACCTTTCCTTCTACCGTCGTCCTTGCTCACCATGTCGTTCTTTCCTCCGCTCGATCTCCTATCGATTCCCGCTACCCTTCGGCGGCAAAAACGACTGGCCGCTGGTACACGGAGACGCATTACCGACCACGTCGTTATAATTCGTCACTGTCGCGTAATGATCCGTGAATGTGCGCGCCCACTCTTATACGCTTTCTTTCTGCCCTTCCTGCCATTGCCATTGAAGGGCCCCACGGAGGTTGTCGATGGCCTTAACCATCGGCGGGGCCCTCGTCGCAACCTCTCTCCCCTTCCTCCCTTCTCGCCGTGGCAACCACCGCGCCGCGGCGTGAAAGGATCGCCACTTCGCGATCAATAGTTCATTACGAGAAACAAAAATGCGCAGCCCGACAATAGCGCGATCCGTGGCCGCATCGAACAATCGACCTAACTATACATACACTCTCTCTCGCACTCTCTCTCTCTCTCTCTCTCTTTCTCTCTCTCTCGCTTTCTATTCTACGGCAAGTGACGTGGAATATATGCTGCTGGAGTGCGACAGGAAAGTGTACGAGACCACGAAGGAGACGAAGGGAGAGAAAGAGAAAGAGAAAAAAGAGGAAAGAAAAAGTGCGGAGAACAAGGAGGAAGAGAAGATCGAGATGAAGTGCTGGGTGGCTCGGCCAATTCGAGGATTGAGTATGTACGATGAGAGGAAGACCAAAACTCGAGATGATAGTGAAGCAACGAGTTATGAGAGCATATCTGTACGGAGAAGAAAAGACGGCGTGGTTGCGCAAGCGATGAGGTCTATTCACGCCTTTTATTAGGGCTATTATGGGCCACCAGGATATAGTGAGCCACGCCACTATGATTGCATGTTATCAGTGGCAGTCGTGACACCACCCACGTGTAATCTCATAAATCTAGAGAGAGCAGTAGTCTGCATTTTTATTTAAAATAACGGTATAATATTGAGTTACATACTGAAAACGTTTATAATTATATTGAAAAAGAGAAACGCAACTTTTCTCATTTAAACCTTTTTTGAAATTACTCGTAATGCGATATTTCAATTGCATTGCATTGTTAAGTGTCCATCATTTTGCAAGTTATTTTAACAGAAATTTATAAGAGTGTCTTTTGTGTTGTGATCTTATGCTACCGTTGGTTTATTCAGTACCGTATATATAAGAAGAGGTAGTATATCAAATTAAGCAGCCGTATCCATCAATATGCGTACAGCCGTACAACATGATTACGCTAATTAGTTATGTTAAACTTCCAACTGCACTTATAGAATGCATTTCGTTTTAGAAAAAAAAAATATTGAAGGTGAATTCTTACCTAAATGTAGGTTTTCTGACTGAAATATAAAGTTATTTTTAACTCTCGAGAGTTTATGCTTCTAATATTATCTAATTAATGATTAACCAATCTGTTCGAGCATACGGTTATACTCGGGTTATAGGATACTGTTTCCTAGGGAGTGAATTTCGAGTGTTACTTAAGCTATAAATTAGCCCCATTACAGCGCACGATTGAAATTAAACCATCGGAATCCGAGAAGGTTCGTGTTAGATTATCCGGGCCCGTATTTTATCTTATCTTAGAGATTCAACTTGTTCGCCCGGTGGACACTATTTCCCTAGCTATACAGAACGGCTGCTTGTTCTGCAAGGTGGTCGACTCTTCGAACAGCGACATCCGATCATCCACATTCAACGAAAACCACGCAAACACTGTTTATTTAGACTTATGGATTCTTACAGCATAGAAAACGAATGAACAAGTAACATGGAGCCTTAATTTATCTATTTTACCGCCGTACTATTTTCTTAATTCTTAGAAACCTCAAGTTTTATTTCAGAAAGAATCTCATACTGTATTGAATGTACTTTTTTATTTAAAAGAGATATGGTTTGAATACCTTATTAAATTTCCAACAAAACTTTATTTTATTTTATATTTTATAATGAAATAAAATTGTGTTTTATTGCGTTTGATTGTAAGTTTTATTGAAATATTTCTAAACGTTTAAATCGATAAGATACAAATTTAAAAAATATCTTTGTTTAATAAATTATTTAGAAAATTTTTACATCAAAGTTGCATGAAGAGGAATTTCAAGTATTTCTCTAATAAATAGATATGATGAATTGTGTACCACGAGTTATTTCATCAATGATGATGTTTGATTACAATCACCGGCATATAAGTGAAGAATAGTCGAATTGAAAAATATTTCTTTAATACACTAATAAATCATTAATGTTATTCTCTTATTGCCGAGGCAAAAGTTGTTATATTCGATGTACAGCATGAGTATAATTCATTTTTTATTCCTTTACCCATAAAAAGGGTTAAAGAAAAGGTAACGGATCTTGTGATCTTGGTTAATTCGTGGATCTGAACACGTGCTTAAACGTTTATCTCGGGATGTCAGCCGCACTATAAATGAATCGAACAAACGACGGTCCTCGGCGGTGTCATTACGCCGCATAAAAGAGTCTCGCTTTGCATCCATCGTTTCGGTGTACACGCATCGGCTGCTCGATCGAGGAATTCCACGGATTCCCTTGTCAGGCTACAGGTGCACGCTCTACTCCTATACCGGGTTCCTCGCGATCCGCTGTCGCCCGTTGCGTTTTCGAAGAGTCGGCCGGCGTGCCTCGGGGGCCTGATGGTCCCTAGAAAAACGACGAAGACGTACATATTTCGAAAATGTCGTTACTCAGCGAACGCGAACGGAGCCTAGGCGAAGGCGGTGATCCGTGCAAGGAGGCGGCTTGGTAAAAGGGCTTCAATAAAATAAACAAGTCTGCTTTATGAGTTATTCGCGAGGTGAGGCTTATATGCCGCGAAAAACGCCGATGCGAACATACCGCGGGATGAAAGTGGAGGATAACCGGAGAGACAGAGAAAGAGAGGTAGCTCGTTTCGACTGTCTACGTAACTTTTAGTCTATCACTGCGAGAGCGACACCACTGGGTCTTGCTTGGACACTTGGTTTGCGTGGACACGATCGCTACACCTGCGTTTAATCGTGTATTCTTGGAAAGGATTTCGTTGTCACTTGAAACGCGGATTTGCTCAGTCGCCGAGAAATGTTTCGGATTAATGAGCGCCAGACATAAGAAGGTCTCAATGCGGCAACAGATATCGAGAACGCGAAGAACCGTACTAAATAACGCATGAAATCCTTTTCTTTCTATAAATTCCTTTCTCTCTTTCTCATGTTTTTGTAAAATTGCTGCGTTAGACAGTGATGGAATTAGGGCTTGGAAGATATCACAGAGACGCGTTTTAACGTGGATTTGTGCGTGCAATCTGTACGCGTGTATCTATTTGCTCGTTATTGTCATGTAAATATTAAATTACTATGCTCATATACCGAGATAGGAAATCTGTTTACATGCATTTTGATTCCATTATGCTGCGATTCGCTTTTCTCGTAACATGGATACCTCTATGGCACGTTACAAGTCGCGGACGCAAGCATATTTGTCTTCGCGTCGGAAAGCATACGTAAACGCTATCCATGACGGAGACGTTATGGGACGGCCGATAGCGACGCGGGGCAACAAATTTCAGCATCGCATTCGCGATTACCACCCGTCGCTAGCATGAAATCGAATAACGGATACATTCATAAACGTCCGATAATTCAGCGTGCGGTATCGCGAAAATGCGCGGCTAAAGCGCCTGCACGGACGTCGTCATGATTAAAGTCGATTACGATTACTTTACGGCGTGCGATCGTACCTTCGATAAAACGTGCAAAGTGCAATGTCATGAGGAGGAAACCGTCGAAAACTAAAAGTTTCAGAGGCGTTCATGGATGGTCGCCGATTGCCCACATCGCCGCACGTTGCCCATATATATTCCCGGGTAAAGCGCGGAAACGTTGATGCGCAAGAGAGGGAATACCGTGTTCGCCAATTACACTTTCAAAGCGGAGCGAGGAAGAAGAACGGGAATGGCATTCGCTTCGGGCGAGTGCGAAAATGCGAGTGAGCGCGTCGTGAGAGGCCATTTAAACGACGAAAGAAAGCCGGGGGACCGTCGGAGGGAGATCGACTACTCGCGTAGGTCAATATATTCATTGGCTGGAGGAGACCCCATGACGCATTCGAGAGGTGCCTTGCGCACCTCGCACGGCGCGATTTCTTGCGTATTGGCGCGGCGCACTTAGGCGCGCGAGAGTGGAAAAAGCTGCGCCGGTTGCGCGCGGCGCGCACCGTGAAATCGAGTTGACTAGGTATAAATTGTCCGGAAGTGGATGGTCCGATGTGGCAGCGCGTTGTAGTCGGACCGGCTCTCCTCCTGACAACCTCCCCGTGTGCGAGACGGACGTTTAACTCGTAACGGGCAAGACATCTCCGCCGATCCTACGTAAACCGCTTTTAATAATTCCACGATCCGACGCGCGACGCCGCGAGCGATTCTTCGGAAACCGTCTAAGGCAGCCCCCCCTTTTTGCGGCGTGCAATTAAGTTTCTGTTAATCTTAAATTACGAAAGGAATTAACACCGGAAAGTGCTTCCGAATATGTTTATGGGATACTTGTGCATGTTCTTGCGTATGCTCTTGCGATCGTAACTTCCTGAATTGACGATTCCTAAAACGATCTTCAGAATTTTAATACGTTTTTCCACAAACCATGTATGCGCGTGTGTTTACACGTCTTAATCGCCGAATAAATAATCCTTAATCGTCCTTAGTAAAGCGTCAGTATCGACCATGTTGAGGGATCTTTATGGGAAAGCGTCAGATGTGGGAAATATTCTTCGTGGCGCGGCGCGGTTAACTGTTTCCCATATTTATTACGTCTTCGCGAGACATAAAGTAAAACGCGACCGGAACTCTTCGGCATTCCGCGAGAGTATGGCAGTTCGCAGCCGGTCGGTCGGCCGGTGACGCCGGTGTTTACCACACCCGTCGATGTTCACTGCGTTCATAGCGCCGTAAACGTCCGGTCGAACGGGCAGTGATATCTCTTCCGATGGACGGGCGCACAGAAGGACCAGCGTTTCGCTCGCAAAATCGTTTATTGTTTTTCCACGTTTGATCTCCCGCGTATTAATCGCGCTGCGGGGCTGCTCTATTGCGCGCTCAGATATCGCGCCGATACTCGTTGCCCCTCTCGCGCAAAAAAATCCACCACTCGGGTAATAGCGAGCCTTAAGGCGCGAGAAATCGCGCGCGATGATCGTACGCGCAATAACGTAGAGGCGTGGTTATATTTCATGTCACGCGCGAAATCATTCTATCGCTAGCATAAGACCTTTCCCGACGCGATCTGTTAGACGTAATGTAATTTAGCGCACTTCTGTGCGGAATTTCGATTTGCGCTTGTTGTGTCGCGGTAATTTGTGCTCGAGAGTTCCGTTAAATAAACAACGGTCTTATGCAGTCCATCTCTTAACATTGTTAATATTTTAATATGAAAAAGAAGTCGATAATTTACAAGAACACGCTTCGATATAACGATTATTTACGAGCCATATAAAAATCTAATTCGATATTTCGGTGACAACCAGAGCGAATAACTCGAAGCAAATATTTTACGCTTTTCTCATGTGATTTTATCGGTTTGTGGAATTATGATTGCAAGACAATCGCGACGAGCGAAACGATGAAATGTCGAAATGCATGCGCCGAAGACTTATGGCGAAATTCACGGAGAATTACCCGATGGTCCGTGGTACGACCCGGAGCGAGAGGCACTCATGGGCGGTAAAGGGCGCTAAAGGGCGCCGTTCAGTATTAAATGTCACTCAACCGCGTCGTAAAGCAAAACTGCAGCTCGTCCAGTCAACGGCCCCGGAGTTTTGCACCTTACCGTCGCCGGTTCCGAGATGCATTATTGCCGGCCACGTGATACCGCGACGACGCGAGCGAGTTAAAGGGTTAGAGGAGGACGGCGCGCGGGGGTGACGAGGAGGGACGAGAAACGGGAGTCCTTCGTTCGCATGCGGCTCGAGAGCGAATTCCCTTCGCCTTTCTCGGGTGCAAAGTTTAATTGCACCTGTTCTTGCCCCTGTGAAAAACGCGAATCGATTATTGAACGCTGCCGCAACTTGCGCGCCCATACCGAACGAGGCTTCTTATTCTCCCCGTTGTCAGTTGGAGTTAGTTAGAGATATGATATATCGTGAATTCTTGGTGTCACTGACTAGGCAAATTTATCGTTCATTCGATGCGCGACGCTAATAAAGACTCGAAGAAAGTTCAATGGGCAATAAAACCACAGAAAATTATAATTGCATACTTCTGACTAATATGAATGTAATCTAGTATCTAATGACGCATTATCCTATCAGTAAATAGGTATATTTGTAATAAAGTTATGATAACTTATTCTAGGAGATGGAGAAATACACTCCTTAATGTTTATTACATTACTTATATGTAAGAAAGACAAAATTTATATTTATCAAAATGGATTATTTAATAATTTCTTATTATCATTTATATTTCTTCAATATTATACATTTGTCTTATTTTGCTGGGAAAGATGATTGTCCTCCGTTGTTCCTTATATATTCATATCATTGGCATCATAGCACAAGATATTTATTCAGACAATTCTATAAAATTACATATAAATCGTTACGTAATCATAACTCTTTGATATTTTTCTCCCGATATTTCTAAGGCGCGCCGATGCACCGTTGCTCCGGCACGTTCAATCGCCGGCAGCCTCGGGTTGCAACGTCTCCTTGTCGGCCCAGAGAGGCATCATCGAGAAGCGTATCGTTCCGTAACGATTGTGAGGGAGTGTCGGAAACGGGGATGTCCGAAGGTGATCGTCAGCGTTACGGGCACTCGGTGAATCGCCGATCATCGTTCGAAAGAAGTCGTCACGGAGTCGGGCGTGACGCGCCAACGTTTCAGAGCCCGTTACAAGCATCCTCGAGGATATAATACGGGTATGAAAAGGCACGCGGGTGTCGTGAACCCTTTCTCCCTAGTAGCCCGTGTCACCTTAAGGCGTCGGCCACTTCGTCATCTTCGTCATCGTCGCATTCGAGGACTCGGAGGCGGACCACCTCGCGGCCGTCTAATGGATTGTTTCGCCTCGGCTACTTTTCTTTTCCTTCTTCAACGACGCGTCGAGAGGATGGTAGTTGGTGTGGCTGGATGACGTCTGGTAGCGAATAACGCGCGGCGCACAGGCAGCGTTGGATTATTCATACCGGCGCGGCGCGGCTATATCGAGCCGGCCATGAATTCTCGTAACGATTACCATTCGTAATGATCATCGCTTACAAGGCGCGTACAAATCGCTTCCTAAGTGCGCTCTTCTCCGTCTTCTTAGTACGCACGCTGTTACGTTATCGTGCCGCTTCTAATAGCGCGATTTCCTCTGGAAATGTCCTGTACACGTCTCTCTCCGTAATCGCAGTTTACGTTGAACACTTATACAGATATCTATGAATGATTACGTGTCGCGCGATAGATCCTCTCGTGGCGTTTTCTTTTATTGTTGAAAATGTAGTTTATTTTAAAAATTTAGTTTTATCTTCACGTTTTTTATGCGTATGATACACGAATGCCTGTGTAGAGAAAGCTTAAAGTAAAGTTTCTTTGAAGTATCTGATATATTAAGGAATGCATTTTACCATTATTTTATATCGTGCAATTGTCAAATTTATTTTCATCATTTACTTTTGTAAATAATTGT